TGTGTGTGTGTGTGTGTGTGTGTGTGTGTGTGTGTGTGTGTGTGTGTGTGTGTGTGTGTGTGTGTCCGGTGTGTATAGGCATTCGGTAAGAAACTTTTCGCATTAAAATAACTTAAGATCTCGTACGTACTTAGATACGTACATTTGGCTATATTAATTGGCTGCAAAGCAAAGATACTGCATAAATATTTAAAGAGCGACGCAGAAGAAAAGCGACTGCCAGGCTGATAGAAAAGCGATGTGATTGTTACACCACCATGTCATGTCTCCCTGTTATATGGCTCTGTTTGCTCTACAAACGCTCTATGTATAAACATATGGGCTTCGAAAGTGTGTTACGTGTATATAATTTATAAAATACAATTATTGAAAAGTACTTGCCAAATTCCCCTCCTTATCCTATACTGTGTAATGATCGGGTAGTCGGCATCTCGGCTACATAGCGTCCAGAGTGAATAAATTAAGATCGTTGTTAAGCATTTAAAACAAAGGATGGCAGCCAGGCAGGTGGTGGGCATCGCAAATTCCGACCTCGCTACTTCAATAAAGCGGCACTGCCATAATTCCCTCGCTATCCCAATGTATGGCGATTGAAACGTCGGTACTTCTGCGACGTAATACCTAAATTAAATGACCTAGCGCCGATGTTACGCTTTTAAAACACAGAGTGGCGGCCAGGCAGATGGTGCTTGTCGCAAATTTCTACCTCGCTATTTCGATTAGGTGGCACTGCTCACTATATTTCTTTACCTATTCTACTGTATGGCACTTGATATGTTGGCACTTCGACGACGTAGCAGTTTGCCGATGTTACGCAGTTGACACTGGCGACTTCTGGGCGACACTGTCCCGCCATATTTCTCTCGATATTTTAATGTATGGCAATTATGACGTTAGTTCGTCGGAAATCGGTACGTCGCAAGCATATTCAGCACTTCAATAAACCTAGGCAGGTCGTTATTGATCTATGAAGACACTACATCTGTTGGGGGTATGTGTAGATAGTATATCTGAACAATCAATTTTATATTTGGCATCGAAAATAACAAAATAAGTTACATCACTTGGTCTGACCTACGGTTGAATGATCCAAGATAAAGAGTCGAAAAGCAGATTTCCACTTTACCAGCACTTTGCAAAATTAATGGATATGGAACACACACCTAATGGTTGTTTCTATAGGCTTTTTTAGAATAGAGAACCACTCTGTGAAAAGTCATCCTTGGCGTGATGATTTAAATAATTACCAGGTGGTCATAGGGCAGATCCCAAATAATTTTTAGGACATTGTTTTGCAAACCCAGTAAGAAACATTATAGATTCAGAACTGACCTACCAGGTCTTAACGTTATTGAATGGGGAAAAATGTGCGTTGTATCGATTTACACAGAAATGTCGTCAGTTGACTTCATGAGCCGTAGAGGTAGCCACGATGGTTGGAATAGTGAAACCCTAAGCACAGTGTTACTGCACACTTAGATGCAAGGATCAGAAATCAACTAATTAACTCTGCTTCACTTGCTTATCGTATAATATAAAAAATTTGTGTGTAATAAATTAACTGTATATTGTGTTAATGAATGCACAGTATATGAACCCTAGAGCACAGGTAGCTTGCTTTTGCACAATATATGAACGCCAGAGCGCACGTATCTTTATAGCTTCACCATTATATATTGTGTTTGATATACATTTATATATTAACAATATGTAATGATGTAATACAAGCTAACTAGCATTTTTGAATAGACAAACATGAACTTGTTTATATTTCACCTACTACGTATTAAAAGTAGTTAGTCAATTACAGTGATACAAAAGGGTTTCCACTTCTAGTTAAATCCTTCCCGCGCCTATGTGGCGCATATCGCGGTTCCTATCTCCGTTTCCTTAACCAGAGGCCACGCAGCTGCTTTCACAGTAAATACTACAGCGGGGGGTGCTAAGTAGTCCACTGGTAGCACTGCGAGCTAACTTTCCACGCTCTATCTCTATTTGCTGAATGCTGAAGCAGAGAAGCATTGTGTACCATTTTCCAAGTCTTCGGTATGGCCCGGCCGGGAGTATAACCCCCCCTACCCAATTACCACTTCTATCAGAAGCTTATAAATGGAAGCTTCCATTTATAAGCTCTTGCTTCTATTACCAGAGATATTAAAATAATTTAATTATTATTTAACAACCTGATTATTGTAAATATGTTGGTGTATTTAAGTAAATTCTCCTCAATAGAAAATTTGTTACTCATAACTAGGCCAACAGGATCGTCAGTGCTTATAGTATACTTATAAACATAATATCAATCACATTTAGAGACAGACCTCTAGCACTGTATGCATTTGGAAGTGACAGGCGGGAACAGCTTGTACACAGAGCATCCAGTTACAGTGTACTTATCAATGATATATCGATCCATGCAACGTGCAAAAATAGCTTCCATCAATTATATTTAATACCATATGTAGCTATAAACTATATATATGATCTCTTATAACGTAAAATGGGTCATTTATTCATGTATCTTATCACCAATACCAAATGACTAAGTCATGTACTAGCCTTGGTTAAAGATGAAACATTCTTGATTCAAGTGGATGTCAAGGAAAAATTTCGTAGATGGCGCTAGCTGACTGAATCAAACGTTTAGCTCCCCAGACGTTTACTAGAACTAAATGTTCTCTCTACCATCTTAAAATTTGGTGCAGTAGTTTGCTTCCTAGCCAGGATCTGATATTGTTTAATTATTCGTGTAACAAACATAATATTTCCACAGATCTCATCCAACACCAGACGTTATTACCATATCCTCGCTATATTAAATCATGTTATAGGACCACAAAATCTTCATGGCAGTGCGGGAATTGACTTATATTTAATGTAAGATAATATTGTTTCAGCTTTATAACACAGCATTTGAGGCATTTATACCAAGTACAATGAGAACGAATTCGGTTTCAATCATGAAGCCGTGCACAAGCAGTGTCCTGAAGTACGTAATTATTTGTTGTCGGCTGCATGGATTGACTCTAGCTCATAGCTAGAGAAACTAAAGTCGAACAGATACGTTTTACCATAGATTAACCGAGTAGAATTATTGACGAGTAGATAATGAAATGCACAGCAAATTATGATGGTATTTCCTCAATGATCATGCGTGAAACGCTGTCCCAACCCGTGGAGCTGTCCCCATGCTTATGGGCTGGATTCCTGCAGGCTCCCACGTTGAATTGTATGTCCGCTCTCCCAGTAGGCAGTTCATAGCAGATGCCTTCAACTGTTGTAAACGATTGAAAATGACTCAATTTATCTGAAGTGATGTATACACTTGCCAATTTACTGCAGAGATGGTAATAGTGCAAATTTACCATCACATTTACTCTAGTGTAGTTGGTGAAAGTACGGCGTCATGTTGGCATTACGTTACATCAAAAGCCAACATTTTTTCTCGCTTTAATGGAAATCCTTAAACTTCATTATGAGAGCACGTGTTCCTACTATAAACATATGGATACTGTTTATAAACACATACTCAAGCAACTGCCTATATACACACCTATTGAGGGAATGTGCATGTTGAGTCCTTGCTGACTGCTGTACATCTGAGCATCAATGCGGGCAGGGCTCTGGCACTCAGTACCATTGAAGGTGATGTACCAACGACTGCAGGACCTGTCTTCATTCCTGATATTGCGAAGGTTGCCTGTCCATCTTACAAACAGTCCGGTGTCGGCTCTCAGCTTTGTCACACTGCATTGCTAGGTAATTTGAATGTTAGGTGTTTTCTTTTTCTTTTTGTTGTAGTAAAATGGACAGCAATCTGTGTTAAATGAATCGTGCTGTAGGAGCTTGTGGACGCATAAATTTTATTCATGGATGTCTAGAAACTAGACTATACAACTAATGGTGTAACATGATACGTGATCAGTAATTAAAAATGCATCTTTTACTTGGTTATATCAGAAGTAGATAATAGTCCCTATTATCTACTTCTGGTTATACGTTATTTGTTCATCATGACATTTCATGAATACGTAGCATGTGCTTTGTAAACATGCCACATCCTTTCATACATGCAGATACTGTCCGATTTTCTGGGTAGCCAGCAGACATTTTTGAAAATATGTTCCCATAACTGAGGGTATAAATGTAATACTTGCATAGATTATTCCGTTGCCGCTGTCCCATGTGCACTGGTGGATCTTCCTAGCCTCACACGCGGGGCACTCGGGTGTGATTCCATTTATTCCTGCATTGCCTTTCTCTCCCTTCTCAGATGAAAGGCCTGCACACAAACATCGGGGTTCTACTGTTCACACGAAGAAATTGTTCTATAAAAAACTATAAAAATTTGGTGATGTTGTAGACGTGTGTATCGACATCATCATGCTACCTTTATCATTCTCCATAATTCGAGCAAATCAAGGCCTGCGCATACTGGGATCGATCGCGGACAGTGCTATTTTCTTGATGGCAATTCTCTGTGATTCTACGCTGACAGGACGGGTCTCGGTACTTGTTCAGACACCGTACTTTATTATCTTCTACTCACCATGGTTGCCGCCCCTATCTCCCTTGTCCCCCTTGGCTCCTGGATGACCATCACTTCCGTCCCTTCCGGGTAAGCCTGGTACGCCGTCTCTCCCATCCCGCCCTGGGCATTGCGGCCCTTCCTGCCAGATTACGCCAGATTGTTTTCCGATACCATAGATTTGTTACTTACATGGTTTTCTAATGTATTTGCTCAATAATGTTAATATCTGGGAACGTTAGAAATACATGCGTGGTGTATTACAGTGCTACTTGGATACTAATTTCATAGCATTTTCTAAATAGCTGTAATAAACTCAGTAGAAAGAGGGTATTTCCTTATAAACGTACCATATAAAGTATCCTACGTGAAGTAATAGGACGTAAGGAAATATGGAAGTAGGCTATTATAACTCTTTTGAATAAATATGTAGGTTAAATATATATTTATTATTTTATTAGTTTTATGTATTATGTATTTAATAGTAAAATATATCTAGTTGTTCAAGAACAAAGATGTCATTCTCTACCGACGAAATGTTGTTTGCAAATACACTTATGATATCAGAACTTTTGTGATATGTAGAGAAATGACGACTTACAAAACATTCTGCTTGAACTGTAATTTGCTACTTCAACTAATATCTTTGGAGTCTAGTTTCTTCTTGCATTGTCAAACTAATTTTATATCGCTTATATATATGTATATATATATATAATATATAATATCATATATATATATATATATTTATATTTTAATAGCATACGGTAAAAATTTAAACGACCATCTAGTATTTCACTCTTTCTGCCATGACTGTAATTGTTAAAGGCGAATAATGTAGACAGAGTAACATGATATATATATATATATTATTATATCTATATATATACTCACCACACAATGAGGGGATCGCTGCCGAGTATCTGATATATCTGGCGTGACCAAACACACTCCTAGCGATAATAAATATACACCTATTATTATTCCCTGCATTCTTCACGGTTATTGCCGTTTCAGTGAGAATTTGAATATAATGATACAATGACCTGAGAAGATTTTGCGACGTGAAGTGTGTTGAAAACGATATATATATATACTACGGCCTAGTTCTGCCCATATAGACTATGGCAGATTATGTTTCGTGGGCGTGCTATAACAGGCCATGCTATAATGGGATACGACTGAATTAGATTTAGTATGACTCCTGTGCACGCCGAGTTAGACAGTCGAGGTAGGCGTCTAATTTCGGTTCAGTAGCATGCTGTGCACGTGCGCATGCATGAGGGAACATCGACATAAAATACTACTCGGAATATAAATAATTTCCGTGTAATTGCGTGGCATCGGTAACGATCATATTTTAGATCATGTTAAATGTGAGATTCCGGTGTTATTATTTATATAACTATTTGTTTACGATCGGGGTTTGTATATGGCTGATCGCTTGGAGTTGTTTACACTGTATAGCTAGTTTTTTAAAAGCTCGATTCGATAGCGTTATGCTGTAATAGAGCCCATATAATTATTATTTAGCATCGCCCGACCATAACGGATTAGGTTTGACATGCCAAAAATAGACAATGTCACATATAGACACTGTGCTGCTGTCTGCACTATACGTGCTCCATGTATAAGCATAGACATATACAAACGCATATATATATATATACATACACATACACATAATGTATATATATATATATATATATATAGTATAAGCGAGTTCGTAATTGCAGTGTGCGCATGCGCGAACTTTGCCACGAATTCTTCCGGGTTAGGTCATTTGTGAAAAACATTTCGTATTTCGACCGCACAGTACACATACACATGCATCTGTGTCGTTACACGTTGCCAAGCTGCTGCACTTCGACATCGCTACCGTGCATAAACATGGGTTTGAGTGCTCACAGAGCGCGTATATTGTCGGGAGAAGTGTTTGTTGTAAACGCGGGGGGGCTCTCAATGTGTGAAGCCTATATAGATGGCCTGCTTTTAGCCAATGTGAGATGCCGTTAAGAGTGGTGTCAATGTAGCTTCATTTTGTTTCAACTTTTATTTACAGTAAAATATATTCGGTAGTGATTGCGGGTATAGCTCATTCGGTCTGGCAGTGGCTCGAAATTGGGCGGAATAAAGATTCGGATGACTAGCTCACTACTGTAATACCGCTCGCTATAAACATGTTGTATATATACAAATATGTTTATGTTTGTATAATATCTATGGTACGTCTTTACGCGCGGCTAGCTAGGCTCATGATCAGGAACGTAGTAGAAACTAACGGTTGGTCATATCGGATTAAGCAGCCATAACAGAAACCAATAAACATTGTAATACCTTGCTCAAATTGCGTGGATAACGTGATTTAATTTTATTGAAACTAAGAATGAGTTTTTAGTTTTTATCGTTGTGTAGTTTCTGTGCTCTTGACTATATGAATGTGCTTATAAAAATGTTTGATGTTGAGTGATCGAAAGCGTCGAAGTAATATTTCACAGTCGTAGTGGAACCAGTACGCGCTAGAATTAGAGCAACATTGTGACGTTGACTTCAAACCGTGTCGGCAAAGGCGCAATCACCAACTATATCTGAAACTTCACAATTACAAATCATGATTGGACTGACTATTGATTAACATTTACAATTGACAACAAGTGCGCTACGATAACAAAACATTGTGACAATTAAAAGCAATATATACTTAGCAAATCTCTGCACGCGGCCAAGTAAATCTGTTTACAACTGAGCTCTCATAACAATGCGTGTCAGTGCACGCTATTTGGCTACGATCGCGTGCGGGAGTAATCGAAATTGTGGGATTAATCTAAAATCCGAACACATATAGTCCATTTAGCGAGAGGATGATGCTCAGTCAGTGTGCACGTTAGAGATTAAATAATAGTTACATTATCGCGAACATGCAATCCTTCCCCGCCCGCACTCTACGCGCACGAATCTATCATGAATTGAGTGGCTTTTAGATCCATTTTCCGTGTAGTCGGACGTCTTAGCTACGTATGTTCTAGGAATAATATAAGCCGCTAGTTGTGCATAGTAGGGATGCCGACGAAACGTGACGTCTTATCGGCTTGTACGTATTTGCTTCATTGCGGCGTGGCGGCTTTGTTATTGTTGTTATAATTCTGGCAGGAACGGTTATTTTATCCAGGCTGCTGTGTGCTGGTGTGTGTGTGTGTGCTGGGTGCTGCTGTGTGTGTGTGTGCGTGTGGTGTGGGGGTGTGATGTGTGTGCGTGCACGTTGCCGTGTGTGCGCATGTGTGTGCTATGTGTTGTGTGGTGTGTGTGTGGGTGTCGTGTGTGGCCCGTGTGTGTATGTGTGTGTGTGGGCTGTGTGTGTGTGTGTGTGTGTGTGTGTGTGTGTGTGTGCGTGTGTGTGCGCGCGTGTTCATATAATTATTTACACCTTTTTAAGCAAGGCGTCTGGATGTGATGCCAAAATTTTGTCATCAAAAAGCACAGTTGATGTTTTGTTACTGTACTGATCTCGATAACAGAAACGTTGTCAGTGATTATTGATCTACTCATTAATTCATAATTTATGTCACATTGTTAACGGTGATATAGATTTTTTTAATTTAATATAATATAGAGCTATAAGATTAAATTGATACCGTTTACTCAATAGCATGTAGGGCTATTTATATTATTTTCTTTTCTGTATTGCTATTTATGCACTATTAATTTTGGATTATAATATCACGCTGCTATAATTTAATCTAAATAATAGTAATATTTGTTTGTTATTTTACTTACGCTGCACTGATTACATACAATGATACACATAGGGCCTACAATGATAACAAATCGCGGTAGCTCCAGAATTGTATACGGTAAGAGAATCTACGACAAATAATTGAACTGATGAAATTTGTGAGGAAATATGTAATAATTGCTGTTAATATATATTATTTTTGCTAATAATAATACTGTACATTGTTCCAACTGTCATAATTGAGTACTTCTTATCGGTTAACCTTGTATCGTCTACCTTTTACATTGTACGTTATACCACCTACTGTGTACTCTTAATACATAGTAAGTGTATCGTAAAAAATCGGTGGCATGACTCCATTATGTTCATACCAACCCAGATATCCGTGCCTCAACTTTTTTTATTCTGACCTTGGCTTTTTCTTGACATTGGCTGCTCGATTAATCTCGAAAAATGTGAGTCGCAAGTTTGTCGCTATTTTTGGAAGTCGGAGAGTGTCAGTTGTTTTGTTACTGATTGCGCTACTTTGTCCGCCGAATCGCTGTCACATCTATTGATTTGTGTTCACATAAAAAACGCCCACCCGCGATCCTGCCAAATGAATGTTCTTTGAACGTGCAACTTGAGGCTGTCGCTATAGCTAACCACAGGTAGACATTAGGCAACCAGATATATCAGCGCCACGAAATTACGTGGCTGCTAAAAGCGGTTAAGATGAGCGTAACATAAGAGCATGCTCTTGAAAAGATACTTGAGATTTGTATTGACAGTGTACCATTAATTAGTTGCTCAGTATAGTGTATTTGATTTCGCGTCAAGATGTAGGCTGGGTTTACATCATTAATCCTTTTGGAACTTTATAGTGTGTGACTTAAAGTGATTACGTCACCGTAAATGGTAAAAAAAAAAAAAAAAAAATATAAGTAATTCTGTTTACTTTTTATGGTTAAATTACTGCATTATACTTCTTATTTTACTATATTGTTTGATGTGAACATACACTGACTCATACATAGCCCATAGCAAGCAATTAATGTTAAGAAGACTAATATCAAATCGTCCAGTTTTTTTGAATTTGTAACTAGTTGAAAAACAATCTTATCAGGTAAGAATTTGACAACACGTTTAGTCTCGTTAGTTCTCACTTTTAATGTAAAAAAATGGCAACAACAATTTTACAAATTTTACCATAGAAAATTCGTGACGTAGTCAATTTAACGTTTGCGGCTACATTTTGTCCGCTATACTTCCTCTGCTGTGTCCACAGCGATAGTTAAGTAGCTCATAAACGCTTCTCATACTCTTGTGCAGGGGATCCATCATTCTGGGGCAGCAGTCATCCGTATGTGGGTGCAGCAACTCTTTATATTGAAGCATATTTGCACACAAAAAAAGATATATAAACTTTTGGGGTGCCGTGCAATATCGTTAAAATTATACATTATTAGGTTATTTATTCATTCGAAATTTAATTCGCACACTATACTGCAATGTATCGATTAGAGAATCCTTAAATTTTCATAGCTGAGCAATGCTACTGACGAGCTGCCCCTGAAATGAGGTACACGCGGATTAGTAGTGTAGGCCTACACCCCCTTCTGAGTGGATAGGAAATTACTTCAGCTATAAACGAACGTCCGCGTAGCAATTACAAATTCATGTGTTAACCTTTGGGTATTTTAGCTCTCAGTGGGGTGTTGAGTAGCAAAATTGGCACTCGGGAAAATTCGAGCACGGAAATGCGACATGATGAGAGTTTATTAGCGCCTCGCTTACCAAGAAATATCGTTAGCTGTCAGCTCTAGCTCTGATCTTTGTGTGGGCGTGCCATTTGGTGGTTTGTTGGTGAAGGCAGGTATACAAACTCTGCAGTGGTTTGTTATAGAGTCAGGAGTCTATCAATATTGATAGACTCCTGATGGAGTATACTGCCAAACAACTCTGCACGCATGCACTCAACGAATTGTCGACCTAGTTTTAATTATATACCTTACGAAGAGACGCGAGCAAGGTCAGGATTGAGTTTATGAACTAGTTCGATCAACATTATCTTGGATCCTAGTAGAGTGACAAGCATAATAAGCATAATAACACGTCAATCTGGTTTAGGCGCATTTTGTGTGTGTGTGTGTGTGTGTGTGTGTGTGTGTGTGTGTGTGTGTGGTGTGTGTGTGTTGTGTGGGTGTGTGTGTGTGCGCGCGCCGCGCGCGTGTGCGCGTGTATAGGTGTGCGTTCGGGCGTTCGTGCATGCGTGCCTTCG